AAGAAATCTCAACTTCAAGAAGAAAGTTGAGATTTTATCCCTCGTGCCTAGCTCTGGTAGAATATATGATTCAAAGTCTGTAAAATTTGATAGTATCATCTTATCTAGAAAGAAAGCAAACTCTGTTTTTAACTCTAATGAGTAAACAATGAATGCAACAGCCAAAACAAAAGCCTACCTTCACCAGACTTGCAACAAGATTTAGCATGCTCATTCTGTTGTACTCCCAAATTATGGGAAGCTGAAAACAAACAATAAAAGACTAATTTGAGAATTGAGAAACCCCTCTGCATTTTCATTTTTCAATAAGTCTTGAGCAGGGAACCAACCTCCCTAGCATTAGGCCATTTGTTATCACTAATCTCCAAAGTCAACTCAAAACACCCACCATGTATGTAGTTCCAATCTTGCATGCCTCCATATATTGGGTACCTATAGAAAATTTTACTTGAATCAACTGCTTAAAGATGATAAATAGAAGAAATAAAAAGGCCTAGTATTTGTAACATGTGCAAACATATTTTTAGATGAAGAAAGACGGCAATTTGCACATCAAAAACTACTCTAATGTTAATCAGCATATGGATTAGTTACCAACGTGCTCCATTTGTAATACCCCCTTCAAATTCCTTGCTCAAAGACATATTATAGTGAGAGCGGCTGTATACACTTGCTAGGTACCGGAATGTTTCATCATCTGGACATGCATAGTAATTTCTCCTGATATTAATCGACATAAAAAGAATATAATGTTCAGTAATTCAGGAAAAAACCAAAATTATTTGGCAATAATCTCATAAAAATCTGGAAAAATAACAAGTGAAAAATTTTCTTATTAATTTCTACTATCATAGAGATAAAAAAAAAAAAGAGGAATAAACAAAAAACCAGTGGCCAAAAAAAAAACTAAATTTTCTGTGGATTACAGAATGATCATGAGCGTAGTTTGACCACCTTTTATCCTCAGTGCCATCCCATGGATAATTTGCAACAAGTGCACCCTGTGACCAAAAGGAAATATTAGAAAAAGTCAGATCTTGTCTTTCTTCTTTTTTTTCCCTTTTTTTTTTTAAAAAAAAGAGGGAAAATGCAACAAAAGTTATACACAATTTTATTATTTTCTTACATTAACATCAATGACTAAGAAAGATACTTATTTATTATAAGAGCCCACAACCAAAAGCAATTTTAAGAAAACTGTATCTGGCCTGGCTTTCACCAGTGCAGTAGAGAGACAGATTATTTTAAAAGTAAGGCCAAATGGGCGCTGCATCAGCTTTCTCCAAATACTTGCCCAAATGAATGGGCTAAGACATTGCATGCAAATTATCATGAACATAGTGCATTCTCATTATGCATAAATTTACCAAGTTGCTAGCATGTAATCTGGGGCACTAAGAAGTAAGTGATATCGAGTTCTCTTTACAAATCTCAACTCATAAAAGTTCACTAGAATCATGAGATAGAATTTGGTTCTTAACAAAGAGGAAAACAAACGAACAACATGTTGGTTCAAGCGAAAGGAACTCGGTTCTCCTTAAGCAAGGTCTCGAGTTTGAATTTTGTGAACAGAGAAATAGGTGTTGGGAGAGCTTCCCCCTTATGGGGTCTAACCTAGCTCAACTGCAGATTAGTTAGGGCCCAATGTGGCTTCTGGATACTGGGGGGTTAATACCAAAAAAAGGAAAAACCAAAGAGGAAAACAAGGAAACAGTCTGGAATCATTTTTCATGTGTAATAGGTTTTCTCTTCCCTACTTTTATGTCATTTACCTCAGTATTCAGGTCATGCAACACATTTTTTCTAAGATTTTCTGGGATATAGAGCTTTTAAGTTTAGTAAGAGCCAAGAAATTAACAGTTGACACATAAACAACAACCAGCATACACAATAAATTGCAATGCAGATAAAAGGACTCCTATTGATCTGACAGCATTAAGTGGGAAAATCTACCCCATGCAAACTGGCCGATGCTGTGAAATGTATCTGTCTCAACCAACTCATGATTGCTCTTGTCTCTGGTTGTCGTGCATCCTCATCATCATTCAAAGCAAAGAACTGGCATATGCATTAGACAATGACACGTTGTCATTTACAAAAACTGGGAACAAAAATCTAGGGACAATTTCAAATTTTCAAGACACATACAATAACTGAAACATCGTAATACAAATCTCAGGATTTGAAACAGACAAGATAATATAAGTTGACATTATATCCCCCGTTTTTCTAATAATACACATTTTAAACCAAAATATGATGTTAAAATTCAGCCAATTCACAACTTTAATTACTCATCTAAGAAGGTTTATTCACGTCAAATCCTATGGTTCAACTTGGACTATACCATGCATAAGAAATACCAATATTAGGACTTAGGAAAGACTCACCTGGTCTGGAAAATCTCGATTTAGATCAATACCATTTGCATTCGCACGCCTCCGAAGTGTAAATCCATCAGGATTCATTGATGGAAGTATATGAAGGTGAACATTTTCAACAATTAATTTAGCCTGCATAGCAAACAGATATTACAGTAATTCAACATCTTCACAAACATTAATTATAAGCTTGGCAGAATTTTATTATATTCAGAATAAGGCAAGGCATTGCAGTGAAGCATAAGGAAGAGTAAAGATGAATATGATTCAAGAATATATTAGCAAAAAAGTGTAAATATAAACTGCTTTTGGGAGAGAAGAAATCAGGTAAAAAGGCTATCCTATAAAAAATATCTATAAACCAAGGCTGCAAACAATAACAAAGCAGAGAGATTTGTTCTTAGTTCTTACAATAAAATAACAAGGCTCAGCATAAATTATTCAATACAAATACAGATAAAAGATTATGTATTAAATGCTGAAATAAGCAATTTAAATCCCTAGCAAACTTTCTGCTTCAATGACTATAGAGTGAGACTGATGGTTAAGAACCATGTGACCATAGATAGCATCACCTAATCTAAGCCTTGTAGGAATTTTTTTTTTTAAAGGAAAAAAAACCTAAAACCTAAGAATCAAGTTAGCAGTAAAGCTTAAAAACATGATTGATAAAAAGTAAAACAGAAATAGAAACAACATATAATTTATCGGAAATGACATTCAAGTTGGAAGAAATACACTAAAATGCAGTAAAAGGAATAGAAAAATACCAATGAATCTGTCAAATAATTGTCACATATCCAATTTGCAAGAAGTATGAGAAGCTCACGACCTACAGGTTCATCACCATGCACATTACCAATGAACTGCAATATTATGAAATCAATTTTTGAGTGGTTTTCCCCTCCTCTACAAGAGATAGTAATCATAATAATAATTAAAAAAAAATAGTCAACTAAAAACTCCACTATATAAAAACAAACATGAAAATAAAGCTGGAAGTATATGCATCCTAACCACACCCTGAATATGTTATTATTTAATAAGTCAATGTTTCAACACCAGATTTTCTATTCCCTAATCTTACCAAATAGTTTTAGATTAAATAAAAATAATAAAGCAACAGGAAGAATTTTAGAACAAAAGACATTCTAACTGCATTTTATAAATTTCCTGGCCAGAATGGAAAGCATTTAAAAAATGGGAATTTATCTATTAAAAAAACCTAATAAGTAAGAAGCTTCAGCAAGTAATAGCGATCAAAGCATTGAACCATTGACATTGGGTGCAACAAAAAACAGAATAGATGCATAAGACAAGATTGAGATTCTCAGTCTTGCCAAAACCACTCAAGATCTTAACACTATGGAAATGATAAAGAAACAGTACATTGAAGCTATGCATGTGTCTGTATGTAAATGGAAGACTATTAGATCATTTAGATCATTCACCTTAAATGCAGGTTCAGCCTCTTCCTCCCCAGGTCTGTCAGATATCTCAATCACCCACTACAGAAAGATATTATTAAATTGAAATTAATAAAACATTCTTTAAGGATTATAAATCTAACAAAGTTAGCCATTGCCAAATGCAACAGACTGAAAGCATGTGCAAACACATTACCAGTGGAACTCCTTTCACACTTGTTCCGATACTGATCCACAAATCAGGAAAGTCCTCAAAGAGAGAAACAAAGAACAAATCAGCAAAATTGTTACCTATGTTGATAATAACCCTCCTAAAGGGACAGAATAAAATAGAGGGATCACCTGTATATTCTCGAAATGTTACTACATCTTTGCCCAAATTTCTTCACTGCTTTTTCCAGATCCGTATTAGTCATGTATCCCTGAGCTAAATCAACTCTGTAACACAAGTTCCCATCTTTACAAAAACACCACCATAATTAAGCTAAATAAAGAAAACCCAGTACAAGAAAGTACCTTTTCTGAAGCTGGTTTTCCTCCAATAATTCTCTAATAGAACCAATGTAAGTATCACCGCTAAAACCTATATCAGACATCAAGATTAAAGCTAAACGCCAGAAACTAAAACAAAAATAGAAGACAATTAAATTCTAAATCAAACGCCAAATCCAACAGTTTCTGGTCAAACCATCAAAAAGTCAACGACAATGGTTCGTGATTTTACATCTTCAGATTAGTAGATCAAACAGAAGATTATGTTCCAAGTTCAATTGATTCAATCAAGATTAGTTTCTTTTCAAACGCAAATATACAGATAAAAGAGAGAAAGAAACAGAGAGCAAGAAAGGGTGACCTGAACCGAGGGAAATGCGTTGGCCGCCTCTGGCGATAGCGGGAGGAAGAAAGGAGGAGAAACTAAGAAAGAGAAAGAGGATGGAGCTGAAAAGCTTCATCTTTGGCTCGATTCAAAACAGCAAAGACGATCGAAAAGCTTTGAGGTTGAGATGAATTTCGGTTAGCAGAAGGTTTCTTCTTCTACATGATGAAAATGGAAGAAGAAAGAAAGCTAACGGTGACGGTATCGGCTGGTAAGCTGAAGCCCGAAAGAGCCTGAAAAGCAACGATCTTTCGCCATGGATTTGGATTCTTGCGTTGGCCCAAAACCGTGAATCCAACTGTTGTCTTTTGATTTTAATAAATTTTCAGAATATGGATTTTTCCTAATATTTGACGTTTCAGTTTCAAACAAGTTGTGTAGTTGCCATTACTTTTTCACAAAATAGATTTTCCTAACATTGACGTTTCGGTTTCAAACATGTTAGGTACTTGTCCGACGTTTTTTTTTTTTTTTTTTTTTTTTTTTTTAGTTGAACAATTAAAAATAATTATTTTTTATTTTTATTTCACCCCACCCACAACCCGACGTTTTTTTTATTAGCAGCTAGGGAAATTTATGTGAAATTTATGTTGGATGTCAACACCTTTAACTTTACACAATTATTGAGACTAATACCTCTCATTCTAGTTAAAGATAGTATATATATGTTGATAGTAAGAAATTTATAGAATATTATCTTTTAAGTAATTATAGTTGAGAAATTATCTTTTTATTAATCTTGACTCCTAAGAAATCAAATCTTGATTAAAAATGTAAAATGCAAACCTTCTTAACAATTAAGAACAACTCTTTAGGTTTCATTGCACAATACTGTCAATAACAGTGAATATATATATATATATATATATATTTGAATGGATTACAATTTAGGAAAGAAGAATTTGAACCCTAAATTTAAGGTTAAAAATTCACTTTAGGATGAGATATATAACCATCGAATCATGAAATCCAGCTGCAACAATAGTGAATATTGGATAAAGAGCAAATCTCTGATCTAACATTGAGGCTCTCCCCTCATAATAATCTCACCATTATTTTATAATTTGATATAATTAAAACCGTAAAAAAAAAAATAATTAATATTTTTGTATAATATATAGCTATAGTCTATTTTTTTCTCTTTTTTTACCAAAGTCTAACGCTCTATTACAAGTAAATTTTCTGCTTAAATTAATATGTGGACTTCTAATCTTAACCCCAAAGTTGTTTCTCATTCTA